ATTTTGCTAAGTTTCTCTGTTCAGCTAGTCTGACTGCCCCTGTTCTACTACTTTGACCTATGTATTTGACCTGACAATCATCGCAGGCAGGGTATGAGATAAACTAAATTGTTTTGTTTTAAGGGCTCTACAGAATCCTTTAACCGACAAAGCTTGTTTCTAATTGAGTTTGTGGGTTGGAATGCCATTTTTATTCCTGCCATGTTGAGAATTCTGCCTAGGGTTTCCGAGGTTCCTTCCTTGTATGGAATTACTACTGATGATTTAGATTCCTTATTATTGGTGTCGTCATTAATATTATTATTATTATCACTATTATTATTATCATTATTATTGTTATTATCACTATCGCTACTACTATTATTTATTTTATTTTTACATTTCCTTATATATTTCCTGACTAATAATGATAATGATAATAGTGATAATAATAATAATAATATAAAGTGACTGGCATTCAAACCCACAAACTCAATTAGAAACAAGCTTTGTCGGTTAAAGCATCAATCCTATGGAGCCTTTAAAACAAAACAATTTAGTTTATCTCATACCCTGCCTACAATGATTGTCAGGTCAAATACATAGGTCAAACTAGTAGAACAGGGGCAGTCAGACTAGCCGAACATAAAAACCTAGCAAAATCTAGATTGGTTGACACGAATAAGATAAGAAATCTAGAGAATAGTTCAGCTATAGCACTCACCACATGCAATTACACACAACCATACAATAGGTTGGGATAGGATGACAGTTTTAAAATCTAATGTCACAGGGTATAGGGAGAGACTGATAACAGAAGCTTTGTTTATCGAATCAACTGCAAACCAACAAGTGTAATAGGAATGATTCAACACCTGTCCACTCGGATATTTGGAAAATTCTACTACCCCAACGACGACAAATAGGAGAGAACAAAGAAAACTATAAAACTCAAGTTTCGAAGTCGTGTGATTATAACTGATATGATTATGAACAGTAATAAATTTTGTTCGAAACGTCATCCAGTAAATAATACTGTTTCACTCACTGTGTGATACATCTAATAAACAAACTAATATGGAGTTACTTATTACCACAGTGCCCAAGTTTTACCCATATATTAAATGACGTTACAGCAGCATTTCAATGACAAGAGAAATCTTATTCAGCCCTTATGCTCCAGAATTCGTAAAATCTGCCTGACAGAGACAATCGATAGTGAACTAGACAACAACCTTCGATCAAATCTCCTTAACAATGGATATCCCTACAAGGTTTATTGAACGTAAGTAACATCAAGAAAGAATCCGCCCCTAGACAAATCACAGTGCCAAAGAAAAAAAACTGTGTTATGAGTCTGGCATTCAAAGGTGACACCATTTCTGAATTGATTAAAAATCGTTTATTTAAATGTACTATAAACGCACTACTTTTCCTCCAGCTGACTTGCAACTATAGTTTTTACCAGCCGTAATATGATTAGATAATGCGTCAAGGATAGATTACCGCTTATGTCCACATCTATGTGCATTTAGTCTTTTACCTGCTCCTGTGGAGCTGATTATATTGGACGTTGTAAGCGTAATCTCCGAAAACGTGTAGCTGAACACTTTCCGGTTTGATTAATCAAAAGGCGAACGTAGGACTGCGAAGTCGTATATTCGTGATCACCTGTTAGAGTCTGGTCATTCAGCCCCATGTGATTCATCTTTCAAAGTTATCTACATGGCAAAATCGAATCGATCCAAAAGTTTACGTTTTCTTCACTTATGCATAGCCGAAGCTTTAGCTATACATGAACAGAAACCTAAATTTACCTGTTCAAAAACGTTTTGTCAAACTCCTTTCTTTACCTTGGTCATAGTAATGTTCTTTCTAGTTTTTACTTAATTTTTATTTTACCACTTGAATTCTTTCCACTTCACTTCACATCTTCATTCTTATCGTAATTTTTTAAGAATTTTTAGACAACACTTGACATTTAAAAAATTTTTTGATATCAATTCACTTACAAAACAATCTTTAGTAATTTTTTAATTCACCACTTCAACTTTACCCCTTATAACATTTCAATTATCGTTATTCTTATCACATATATTTTTGTATATTGACTGAGCAATTATTTAGTGCCACATGATAACTTTTTCTGTAATATAAATACGACTGTACAGTTGGCTTGAAAATGAAGTCGTTGAAAAGAAATTTCTTCGCTGAACAAAAAAATTGTTTTTACTTATGAATAAATGGGTATTTGTCGTGATTTAAAATGTATAATCATTTATCTCTATAAAGAATCCTAGATAAATCCCCCGCTTTGCCTTGACTCACCACGCCACACTTCACAATTAGGACTTGTCTTAAAATGCGTGCATACACACACACGCAGACCAGAGGATAACTACGACTATACATATTTGTTGTAAGGTGTTTCAAACTTGATTCACCTGCGTATATATTAAATAATTTGCCTCCAAAGCCTCAGGATGGTCGGGGGTGGGTGCCTTGCGCTGCGGGCTGGCCACCCCTCCGCACACCTCTTGAAATGCTCCCATATGACCGGGCGTCTTACATAGCCTCTCCTGAGGAAGTCATACTCACTGCCTTCACGTGGCGGAGGTGTTTTTTTTTTCCACCAAAGTGAGAGGGCGAAAGTGGATGCCCGGCGCTCGTCACCGGGTTGACTGTCCATTGGATGACAGTCTAGGGAAGATGGCTAAACCCTGATTCCAAACCTCCAACGACTGGCGTATGAAGCTCACTGGAGCTCACCGGCAGACGTATGGACAAAGGGCTTGTTGGATGTCCTGGATGTCTGGCCCCATTCAAAAAGGCGTATGAACCGAACTCCGGTCACCGGCTGCCAATGGATAGTGGACTCCCTACTCCACTCCTACTGCCTTGTAGGTCACACTCGGTTGTGTAAAGGCTAGAGCTGCACTCTCAAACAAAAGGCCGAGCGATTCTGGGGACATCACTGGTACCGAATTTCCACGAAACTTCATGAACTCTCTTACAAACGTCGCCTTCGGTGGTTTGGCCATGTTCTGCGCCAACCAGATGACGATCTGGTCAAATCAGTTCTAAATCCCTCGCCATTACTATCTTGGCGATGTCGCAGGGATGGACAGCTGAAAACATGGCTTGGTACAGTCAAGGCTGATATGGAGTGCGTGGGGCTACAAACCGTCTACGGACTCCGTCTGTTGAACAAGAATTGGATAACCCTGTCGCAAAACCTTGCATCAGATCGCCGCGCCTGGGTAGTGATGATTCGAGATGTTCATGAAGCAGGCTCATCCTCCCGTAGGAAATAGCCGTAGTAAAGTAGTAAGTAAGTAATAATTTGCCTGTTGTAGATTATACACCGGAACGACATACAATCGATATATATTGGTGGCATATTTATCTTGAAACTATTCGACTATTGGGGTAATCTAGTGATTGACCGAGGCATCATCTTCTCCCTTAGGTTGGAAATCTTTAGGAGTACACATCCATCGAGGTACCAACTGAAGAATCGACGCAGTGGCCGAATGGTCTACGAGATCGACCCGTAATTAGAAAACCTTGGATTCGAACCCCAGTGCTGAAGAAGCGTCGTCATGTACACAATATATTAGCTAATACTAAGCATTAAAAGTTGATTTCAAATTAAACCACAAACTAGTGAAAATCTAGAAGTACTTGGCAACTGTTTCGTCCTAGTTTAAGACTGACTCTTCAGACGTATTTAAATTCAATATTCGCTATAAACACTTGATTGGCGGTGGCAAGCAGTGGAATCCAGAAAGCGGGTTTCATTCCATCTAGGACTAGTAAGCTGAATATTTACGGTGTTTATAAGTAGACTAGAAATAACTAGATTATGTTTTAGCTTGGATTCCACTGGTTTACGTCTAAAATATAGCTACTCAGTTTGAAAGTCAGATCGCGACATGACTAGCAACGACACTACCATATCATTAGAGTATTTAACCAAGTTGATTTCTTTCGAAGGAGGCAGACCACATAAGAAGAAAGGAAAAAGAAGAGGCGAGAGGAAAACACTTTGAGGGAACGCAGCTTCAATAAGCAAGACAGGAGGGGGATTCGCCTTCATATACAGTATACTGCATTCTATTCAAGATACAAGACCACAACCAGTTATCAGCCGAGGAGTCGGTTTGTGTCAAGGAAGAAGAGTCAAAACATATTGAACTCTCTTTGTCTAAACTGGAAACATAATATTATGATGTAAGCCAGAAGCAATGTCAGTGGCACAGCAGTAGAATGCTCTCCGTCCAGGCATGCGGTCCGGGGTTTAATCTCCGACCATTGACGCACTCCTTTACCCCACTGAGCCAGTAATAAGACGACTGGTGAAGAGGGAAGGTTGGTCATGAGGCTGGTTAACAATCCCATCCAGAAAAAATAAACACCATTGCTACCGAACTTCAAGCCTCTAGCTTAAAGCCCAATGTTCCACTGGCAACGTAAAGGAATTTTTAAAAAAGCCAGCAGTAGCAGCAGCAGAAACTAAAGTACACTTCCACCCTGTTTATAATACTAACTCTATTTGGCGTCACTAAAACTTTTCAAGGAGGGTTCCAAAGGTTGAGTAGGGTACAGCAGGTTGAACATGAGGCAGTAACTCATCGAAGAAGACACTGCGAAATGGTCGCGCTATGTCGTGAATTGGCAGAAGTTAGAATTCATGGGCTGGCCATAGGATAGGGTCCCAGTCGCTCAACGGTCTACGAGCTCACACTAGCCTTGTAGTCCTGTGCTCGAACCCTGGCGGTGGGTGCATACTGCTGGTGTCAGCAGTTGATTGATGTCAGCTCATGGTGAAATCCTCCTTCTTCCAATCAAACTAAATCCCTACAAAACACCAATACTTAAAAGTAATTTCTCCCCTTAATTTCACAAACATTTTATTTGAGATAAAATCTCTGATGAACTAACTTTAACAAAAAAGAACAACACCAAAGTGGAACGACCAATCACAGAGAAGTAGTGTTCAGGCGAAGAAAAAAACTTACCGGAATCGGTGGAAGTTGTGGTTGTTGATAAGCATAACCATTCTGCTGCTGCTGTTGATGGTGATGGTACAATTCCGTCATTTCCATAGCATTTGTTGGACTTATCATCATATTCCTATCCAGAGGTTGTTGACTCCCACCGAAATAATGTGAACCACACGATTGTTGACGTAAATAACGCGGTCCACTAGGCAGAGTACCACTGTGGAACATTGTCGGTGGCGGTACCATACCATTACTATTATTATTATGTCCAGAGAACATATGATTTGTATTCCCCCCGACAGATGGTAACAATAAAGAATGATGCGATTGATGATGCGGTGGGTGGTGGTGATGATTAGTCATATATGATTGACCTTGTTGTTGTAAGTGTAACTGAGAGCCAAGCATTAGTTGACGTTGTTGTTGATGAAGTAATTCTTTGGTCATACCGCCGCCACCGCCGCCTAATGCAGTAGCATATGGATCTGATTGTTGTTGCTGCTGCTGTTGTTGTTGTTGCATATACATTTGATGACGTTGTAAATCACTGTTATGATTAGTATTGTTCGATGCTGAATGTTCAGACATACCACTACATTGTAGATTACCGCCGGCGCCGCCACCCATCATCATCATCATTGGCGTCATCATCATATTCGTTGGTATACCGCCGCCTTGTTCATTCATTCCAACGGGATTAGGAATTGCTGAATTTGTTGCATTTTGATTGTTATTATTACTGTGAGTCATATTACCGGGAGTATTGCTATGATTATTATGTGTTGTTAACTGAGGATTATTCACTCCATCAGTCGTGGTGGTACGAAAATCCGGTGAATCTTTATAACCATGTACATAACCATCTAAGGACAGATAAATAAGTAGACAGAGAGATAAATGAAAACATACGTACATATATATGCAAACAAAATATTTAACAATAAGTGTAATAAAGGTGTGATCACAAGTTGACACCGGTTAGAGAACCGTTGGAAAATCGAGTCTACTAAGAGATGAGTTACACTGACTGGCGGTTGCGCTGTGTCTATCTGTCTGTCTGTTTTCGGCATAGAACTTTACACCGATGTGCGGCAGTTCAAGTCGCTACTCTCCCTGCGTGTAGCACACAAAGCAACAGAAGAAATGCACAAAAGAGATAGTAAACAAAGGAATAGTAATAACGAAGAACAAAACAGTTTCATTGGAAATCATAAGTCACAAGGAGTGGATGCATCTGCGCCAGCCAGCCATTTAGAACGATTTTGAGCCATGTCACCAATTGTTTCCAACCATTGGCTTTTACCGTCTCGAGGACCCCAACCAGTCAGGAAGTCTACACTTTCCTACGTGGCTTAGACTAACTGTTGTAGATTTCATTGACTGGTGCCATGTTTTCGTTTGACCACCACTAGCTCTTTTCCAGACTGACCCTATATCAGCTAACATTGGCCATTGTCGAGGAAGGCGATGACTAGGCATACGTAACACATGTCCTAACCATCTATCTCAATCGATGTAATTTCACAGTCTCGTCGATTGATGTCCCCTCCTTACCTAGCACTCAACGCCTAACCTCAATATTGCTCAACTTATTATACCATTTCACACGGGAGATAGAACGCAAACACCTATGATCAAAGACAACTAGTCTTTTCATTTCTTCTACTTTCAATGGCCATTTCTAACTCAAAGCCATAAAGGAGGAGAGAGCGGACTGGTGAGCAGTACACACGCCCTTTGGTCAACAACCAGTCGGATATCACGTCTACGTAAGAGACGGCGTAAACCGACATATGTCAAACGAACCATCTGTATCCGTGCTGAGATTTCGTCAGGGATCAACCCGTTGGCGTTGGCTGATGGTGCTTTACCACTTCACTCGCTATTTCTAAACCAGGAGTCAGTGTAGTCCAGTCCTATAACATCATCTTACTTTTGGCGGGAGCGTATCGCATGCCAAACATTCGTTGCACTGTGTATAGGTCACACATTGGCAAAAGTTGAGATTCATAGGCCATGGTAAGCTGAATGGTTTACCAGTAGCACGCCTTGTAACCAGAAGGTTCTAGGTTCAAACTCCTGTAGAGGGGGGGGGGCGTCCTGATGAAGAGTTCCAATGGTACTCTCTTCTAACTGATATATACTCTTGATCACGCCTGTAACCACCACCAATCAAATCTCTGTATACCAACACACCTGAATATAATGAAAGTAACCCCAGCGAAAACCGACATACTGGTCGAAGAAGCAGCCAGAGAGGACAGGACTCCGGGTGAACATAGACAAGACGGAAGTTATGAAAATAACCAACCAACAATAACAACAACAACAGCAACATCCAACGCCAATCACCATCAACGGGAGGGATTTGAAAGAGGTTACTTCATTCACTTATCTATGGAAGGAGCATTGTCTCAAATACAGGAGGAACGGAAGAGGATGTCAAATCGAGAATCGGGAAGGCGAGAAACACATTCATCAATCTGAAACCAATCTGGAAATCTTCGTCACTCAGCAACACTCAACAACAAAATTCGGATTTTCAATACAAACGTCAAGTCAGTCAGTTCTTCTATACGGATCAGAAACTTGGCAGGTCACAAAGAATATTTCCAACAGCCTGTTGCAGACATTTATAAACAACTGTCTTCGCTCCATACTGCTGAAGATCAGATGGCCACCGGAAAGAATCACCAACAAGAAACTATGGGAACAAACAAAACAAGAACCAATCATCCAACAAATATGCATGAGAAAGTGGAGATGGATTGGACACTCGATGAGGAGGCCATTGGGTGACATTGCGCGTCAGCCCATTGCTCGAGTGGAACCCGAAAGGGAAACGGCGAGTGGGACGTCCAATGGTGACATGGAGGAGATCGTGTGAAGAGGAGTTGAAACAGTATGGACTAACATGGATGCAGGTGAAAAACACAGCAGAAGACAGAAGCAATTGGAGACGTGTACTTGAAGCCCTTTGTTCAACTAGGAACCCAAGGGAAGAACAACAACAACAAACCCAAAAGAATGATGTTCAACTATAACGATGCGTTTCTAAGTACCACCATCAACACCACCACGACATTCTTTTGGGTTACGAGTGTGGAACATACAGCTTCACAAGCTTAGAAGTCTCAGTATAGAAGTGATAGTGTTGTTTTTTGTGTTCACGCAGTGAGGTTGTAAGCTATACACGGCCAAGCTTCTCTCTGTTTCCAGCCTACCACTACTACTGCTACTACGACCGACTAGGCGAGGTTAAGGAATTCGCGTCAGTGGCTGGGAATCGAACCCAGACCATATGAGATATAGTTGAGTCTATGAAGGTTCGGAAAGATTTCACCTCAGGTGGATAGAATAATATTTGTGTCATACTTTCTTTTCTACGCTTCAGAAAACACGAGCTTTTGATAAAGTAAACCTTAGAAGTTATTCGCTCTGCTTTGTGCCCATAAGTCTTCACTCACAGAATGATACTGCATCGGTGGTTCAACGTATATGGTCCAGGGGTCGATGCCAGATCAACGCAATCCTTAACCTCACTTTACTTAGCCAGTAGTATTAAACCCGAGATAAAGAGAGGGAAGGTTGGGCTAGGTGAGGCTAGTAACCGTCTCCCCTCCCCTCCCCTGTGAAACATAAACACCAGTTCGATCCGGTTAGTCTTTTTTCTTCTTTCACTCCTGTGCATTCATAAAAATGGAACAATTTGAAGTTTCAATAACACCAGTGTTGAAGTGATTTTACGAGATGGCGCATTGCGAAACCTCACGTCCACCCTTCCCTATTTTTACCAGACTTACTGTCGTCTCGAACAAGGTTGAGGGGGAATGAGTCGTCAGTCAGGAATCGAAACCAGTCCACTGAGGTGGTTTGGCGAGTGTTCTCCAATTCAACCGTCACCGCTTTCTTTGGTTCCGAGTGGAACAAAAAGCTCAAACGGCGTATTTCTATTTTGTCCTACTCTCTAAATGCCTCTTTAGATGGCCCCATGGTCGCCCCCATAATCTCTCACCTCGACCTCCTTCTCATACGATCTCCATCTTGCAGACAGACGCCTCCTCACTCATCGTTTCACATTTGGGTTCCACTCGAGCGATCGCCTGGCGGCGGTGCGATGTCGCTCGACGGTCTCTTCAATGACGTGTATCTGACGCATCCATCTCCATTTTCTTCTGCATATCTGTTGAGCAATAGGCCCCTGATTGGTTCGTTGACTTCCAGAGTTTCTTGTTGCTAATTCTTTCTGACTAGTATGGAGTTTAGCGAAGTGGGGGCATTTGTTGACAAAAGTCTGCAGTAAACTGTTGGAAATGCTTCTCATGAGGACGAGATAATAACATATGGGCAATTATGGAGCTAGAGGATCGTAGAAAATAGGACAAAGTAGAGATATGCTGTTAAAGCCTTATGTTTCACTCAAAACTTAAGGTAATAATAATCTAATAGGTACACAGCTGACTGGATGGTTTCAACGTAGAACTTTGCACAGATATACAACAGTTCGAGTTACCACTCTCCTTCCTTGAAGTACACAAAGAAGGACAAAAGAGATAATAAACAGAAGTGGGAGTGAGGTAAAAAGAATAGTAATATGGTAGAAGAACAATAGAATAGGATTTTCATCATGAGCTGACATTAGTTACAGAACCATTGGGAAACCTGGGAGTACTGGACAGCTGTTTCATCCTAGTTCGGGACTCTTCATCAGTACGCACCCACCGGGATTCGAACCCAGGACCTTTCGGTTACAAGGCGAGCTCGTATACCATTAAGCCACTGGGACCCGATCCAATGGCTCATGACTCTCCAACTTATGTCAGCTCACGATGAAAATCCTGTAACCAATCAAATCCCTACAAACCAACACTTGAATAACAATAGAATAGTTTTTATTGGATATCACAAATTCCAAAGAGTGAAAACATCTGCCCCTGTCATCAGTGAGAATGATTTGGAGCCATATCACCAACTATATCTAGTCGTCACTAGTTCTTATCATCCCGACGACTCCAACCAAGAAGCCTACACCTCCATATGTGGCTTAAACTAACTGCGTTATGAATTTCATTGACTGATGAAGCCATATTTCCGTTTGACCACCACTAGCTAATTCTTTTCCAACCTGATCCATCTGATGTCAGCTAACATTGATCGTTGTCGAGGAAGGTGATGACGAGGCAGCGTAACACATGTCTTAACCATCTCAATCGGTGTAACTTCACAACCCCGTCGATTTATTCCCCTCCTAACCTCAATATTGCTCACCTTATTATACCACTTATAAAACGGGAAACATAACGCAGGCACCTATAATCAACGACTGCTAGCCTTTTCATGTCTTCTATATCTCAATGGCCAGGTCTCACAGTAATAAAGGAGCACGGAGGGAACTGCTGCTGCGGAGCAGTACACACCCCCCACAAATAAGTCAAGTAAGTGGTCAAAAAGGCTCCGTCAACCACACCACTCCCTCCGTATCTTAAAGCTACAAGTCAGTGTAGTCCAGTCGTATGGCATCAGCTTACATTTGACGGAAGAGAATTCCAGGTGCATAAATTATTACAGTGAATATTTTCAACTATATACGTGTAAAAATTAGTTGTAAAAATAAAGTGCAGATTTATTTAGTGTTATTTCTCTCCTACACATCTGGTGAACATATGTTTTATTAGAGAAGTATACACCATTTAATATATATATATATATATCCTGCTAAAAGGATTAATGTACTTTCCTCTCAAATTTCAATCTTTTTTTTTCTGCGTTGAAAACTATTCATTCTAATATGTATCTTATCCAAATGATCTTTCCTTATTCAGACTATACTACTGGCTTGAAGAATTCTTTTGTACTGAGATTGTAAATAAGATAGATAGATAGATAGACAGACAGACAGGCACACAGGCGGACACACATAAATCAATCTAGAATTGATGCTTTAAAGTATAGGATCACTTCAATTTGTCACAGAGTAGCAAATAGATAGTTATAGTAGGTATTATCGATAAGCAGTATATTATATCCAAAGATTCAGTGTTTCAAAGGCAAATAATTGCAATAGTTTTTTGCAACTTTTAAGGCAAGATATTCCACAAAAATAAGAGTTTTTTGGTAACTATGTAAATGTAACGTGTTAATCTTCGCTCAATACCACTCAAGATCAGATGGCCAGCCAGAAAAGATCATCAACAGGGAGGGATCTCTGGCAATGAGCGAACCAACACAGCAGGAACCGATTGTGAAACAAATAAGCAGGAAGAAATGGAGATGGATTGGCTGGCCATACTCTGAGGAAACAAACCATCAAGTGACATCACTAGACAAGCCATTGCTCGAGTGGGACCCTAAAGGGAAGTGGCGAGTTGGTCGTCAGTGCAAGGGTGATATGGAGGAGTTCATGTGAAGAGGAGATGAAAGCGTGTGGGCAAACTTGGAGCCAGGTGAAGACTCTAGCAGAGAACCGAACTCAATGGAGACGCATGGCTGAAGCCCTATGTTCCTCTAGGAATTAAAGGAAACAATTATAATATAATACAATTTGTCACACTTAGAAACAGCGACAACAACAATACTCAAAAAAAAGGAAAAACATGGAAGTAGAAGAGGGAAAGACGATAATTAGGTGAAGAAAACCACTAGGTAGTAAAGGACAGCTGTTTTGTCCTACTGGAGTTCAAACCTAGGTTTTTTTTCAGTTACAAGGCCAGTAGTGAGCTCGTAGACCATTCACCAGCCACTCATATGTGATCAGATGACCAGCGCATGAGAATTTCGACTTTTGCCAATTTGAGCGTAATCGCCAGTCAATGTTATATAGGTGCGAGTAACTGATCATCATCTTTTACCTGACATGCTGAACGTCGGTGATTACAAATTCTCATTGGAATTTATTTTTTTCGTTTATTTTATCATTTTATTTTTGATTACAGCTAGATGCCACACCGTATTTTCAGTACAAGTATGGAATTTTCAGCATGGATATCGGTAGCCCAAATTTTGCAGGCCCACCATAGATATCGGGTGTGCGTCGGCAGGGGGGATCGAACCCCGAACCATGTGCATGGTCGGCGAGAGTCCTAACCACTGTGCCACCGACGCACATCAGATTTATTATTATTAAGTGTTGGTTTGCAGTGGGGATTTGATTGATGGTGACAGGTTTCATTACAAGTTGACATCAGTTAGAGAACCATTGGAAAACCAACCAGGGAGTATTGGACAGCCAACTTCTTCGTCCTAGTTTAGGACTCTTCATCAGTATGCACTCACTGTTAGGCTTTGAACCCAGGACTTTCCAGTTACTACAAGGCGAATTTGTAGATCATTTAGCTATTGGGATCGGATTCAACTGTGGTGTTGTGATACAGACAATGTGTTCCAACGGAATATTATTCTCACAGTTCAATACTGCGTTAGCAACATAATACTATATATGTATTTGAGCATTTTATTTCGTTTCATTTCACGTAAACCAAAATCATACGCTCAGCGATTGGTTAGACAATATAAAATTGTGTATATATAAATAGCGGTTCGATCACTTGAAAATATACTTTGGCTTCCGCGTCTTGCCTTCTGTGGTTACACAATGACCCATGAAAACTGGTCGAAATGTAACAGTCCCCCTATTATATGTAGGTTACAGTGGATTTGTGGGTAGTCATCCAACTTATTGGGTCACAAAGAATTCCAATGTCTCTCCACATACCAACGTTTGAGCAGTCACCATGTAGTGTACCATTCTAGCCTTCATACAATCATTTTGGCTCATTGCCAAAAATGCATGGAAATGCAAGTACACTTTGGTCTGGGTGAGTAGCACATTCCCCCACTTAACACAGATTTAGTGGATTAACAAAAACCGATATTTGAAAATTGATCTGATGCTCACTAGCGACTGGCCTTATTCAGGCAGTTACCTGGGGTTCTGGTGGGAAGCTGTGACCAGTAGGCTACAGCAGGTTGAAGGTGAGGAAAGTTGCTCATCGAAGAAGACATTGCGAAGTGGTCGCGCTATGTCGTGAATTGGCAGAAGTTGGAAATCATGGGCTGGCTGGCCATTGGATCACCTAGTAACCAGAAAGTCCTGGGTTCCGATCCCTGTGGTCAGTGCGTATTGCTGAAGAGTCCCAAACTAGGCTGACGAAACAGCCGACTGTCCACTACTCCAGTACTGGTTTTCCAATGCTCCTCTAAGCGATGTCAACTCATCATGCAATCCTCCAACCAATCAAACAAAATCCCTATAAAACCAATACTTGAAAATATCACTAGTCATAGGCCGACAGCGAAATATGTTTTATACTGGGAGATTTCGAAAGTCAATGAACGGTGAATATCTGCTTCAGTATATTCATACACTTTTAAATTCAACACATTCGATGTTCAACTGTAAAGATGTCCCGATAAACTAACTAGCTGAGAAGATTCCTTATAAACAAAAAGTAAACATGGAATGAACATTATTGATCACTTTTCAAGAACACTACGAAATCTCCAAGGAATCATCATCAGATTCATGGGCAAGAATCTGAAACGAAAGAAACCATCGTCTGAACAGGTTCAGGAAGCCCCCGAAAAAGACACTGCCGCTGATGCTGAAACCTCGGATTTAAAAGCAATGCCTGAAACAGAAACTCGCCGTCAAGGGATTTTGAAATTTCCCAGTAGAATATAAATAGATAAATAACTAGTTGGAGGATTTCATCATGAGCTGACAACATTTAGAGAACCATTGGAAAACCAGCACTGGAGTACTGGACAGCCAGCTGTTTTGTCAGCCTAGTTTGCGACTCTTCATCAGTACACATCTACATTTAACTCGTTGGACGTCTCATGAGCACTCTAGCGTTCGTATTCCGCGGTTTCTATTCTTTATGTCTGTCACACAGACAAAAAATAGGGACCAAGCCAAAATGTGATATCCTAGTTTGAGAATCGTCGACGGTACGCACCCAGTGGGGTTCGAACCCACGACCTTCCAGGTTACAAGGCAAGCTAGCTCGTAGACCATTCAGCCACTGAGACCCGATTCAATGGCCTATGAATTGGTGGAAGTTAGAATGAATGGGTTATTGAATTGGGTCCCAATGGCTGATGAATGGTCTACGAACTCGCTGGTTTTGTATCCAGAAGGCCCTGGGTTCGAACCCCTATGGTGGGTGAGTACTGATGAGGAGTCCAAACCAGGCTGACGAAACAGCTGGTTGTCCAGTACACTCTAACTGGTTTTCCAATGGTACTTTCTAACCAATGTCAGCTTATGATGAAATCCTCCAACCAATCAAACAAAAATTCCCTACAAAAACCAAAACTTGAAGATAAATAAATAATTTTTAAAAAAATCATAATTCAAACCTACTTTGTTTTTTACGTTGACCATGTATCCGACGATCTTGATGTTGACGACATAAACACAAGAGAATAAGTATGAACATGACAAGAAACATTAGACCAGCTATACCGCCTAATATAATATACAATAGGCGATTGTTATTCAGTGTATCCAATAGGCTGTAACGACCAGTATAATCAGTTGACTAGATTTTTCAAAGAAGAAAAAGGAGGAAAAAAATACGAAAAGTTAGATATTACTAATGAGTAATACATAGACAGATACCTAGTTGATTATTATTATATTATTGTTTCCTTTAATTCCTAGAGGAACATAGGGCTTCAGCCATGCGTCTCCATTGAGTTCGGTTCTCTGCCAACGTTCTCCCCTGGCTCCACGTCTGCCCACACGCTTTCATCTCCTCTTCACATGACCTCCTCCATGTCATCCTCACCCTTGCACTGACGACCAACTCGCCGCTTCACTTTCGGGTTCTACTCGAACAATGGCTTGTCTAGTGATGTCACTTGATGGTTTCTTTTGTCAGAGTATGGCCAATCCATCTCCATTTCTTCCTGTCTATTTGTTTCACAACTAGTTCCTGGTTGGTTCACTCATTGCCAGAGATCCCACCCTGTTGCTGATCTTTTCTGGTCGGCTGGCCATCTTATCTTGAGTATTGAGCGAAGACAGCTGCTGATGAAGGTCTGTGGTTTGTTTGAGATGCTCTTTATGACGCGCAGTGCAAGTCTCTGATCCATCCGTATAGTAAGCGGCACTGACTGACTTCACATTGGAGTTGAAAATCCGGATCTTATTTTTGATGGTGAGTGCTGGCTGTTGACCTCCACACAGACTTGAGAAAAGTGAAAGCTTGTCTTGATTCTAAGATATGGTCTGTATGGGACGTGTGACCAAGTGACTGTTCGGATTGTAGCTTTGATTTCTACGTGCGTGATTTGTCTGCTAGTGATGTGATGATGTGGTGTGAGCACGTGGGATTCGAGCGTGTATGTATGTCTATGTTGACGAAAGATGTGTGATTGAAAAGTTGTATTGGATTTAAGAGATTTCTGTTGAGCTTGCAAATATGTAGACGTGAGACGGTAGGAATGTGGTTGTAGACAGTTTGAGTGGCGAGTGTAGTCAGCTTGTAAGTACACTTCGAATTCTATCGATGAAATTGGGACCGACTAGAAAACTACCGAGATTCCCTTGCCAAATGGGAGATGTAAATATCAGAGGATAATCCTTTTTGTAACAAAAGACATAATATAATGTTATTATTATTATTACTATTATCATTATCACTGTTATTTTTGATTAACGGAACAGCTGCAACTATAACATTCGTTGAAATTCACCCAAAAATGATGTGATATGTTATATAATGGGGAAAACACGAAAACATAAAATCACACACACACACATCTGCTATGAATTATAACGACCCAGGGACACACTTACGCACACAAGCACACAACAAACAGACAAAAAGGCGAAAACACACAATAAAAACAACTTACAGCCATATTTACGTAGACAGCTTTTGAGAAACGTGTGATCTGTCGTTTATCACCAGTCCCTTTGACACCATAAACAATTATCTGATAATTGGCAGTATTATTCAAACCCGTCAACAATCCATCCTGTAACAGTAATAACAGTAAAAAAATTATCAATGAATTTAAATCAAGCGGGTGTGGGGGGGAAGGGCTTGACGAAGTTAATTCTGAACAGAAAGTAACCACCTAACTAAAACTAAATCTCATACATTTGGTTCCCTCTTGATAAATTTCGATAGAGAAAGAAAGACCAGATTTGCAGTATAAAAAGGATATCATCATTCTATTTGATTGAATGGAGGAATTCATCATGAGCTGACATTGGTTAGAGAACCGCTGGAAAACCAGGGAGTACTGGACAGCTGTATCGTCCTAGTTTGGGACTCTTCATCAGCAGTACGTACCCACTGGGATTCGAACATAACTAACTCTTACAAACCAAACTATAGAAAGTTAATCTGATGCTCACTAGTGACTTGCTACAGGATGGGGTTTCCTGGAGTCAGTTCTAGTGAGAAGTTGTGACCAGTCAGGTCCATCCAGATGTCACGTGTGAGGATGGATGGATATCCCACCGATGACATTGGTTGGTGCCAGTCGCGCTAAGCCACGAATTGGTAGAAGTTAGAGCTCATGAAATGGCCATTGAATCGGATTGGGTCCCAGTGGTTGAATGGGACTCTTCATCAGCAGTACGTACCCACTGGGATTCGAACATAACTAACTCTTACAAACCAAACTATAGAAAGTTAATCTGATGCTCACTAGTGACTTGCTACAGGATGGGGTTTCCTGGAGTCAGTTCTAGTGAGAAGTTGTGACCAGTCAGGTCCATCCAGATGTCACGTGTGAGGATGGATGGATATCCCACCGATGACATTGGTTGGTGCCAGTCGCGCTAAGCCACGAATTGGTAGAAGTTAGAGCTCATGAAATGGCCATTGAATCGGATTGGGTCCCAGTGGTTGAATGGTATACGAGCTTGCTGGCCTTGTAACCGGAAGGTCCTAGGTTCGAACCCCCTTGATGGGTGCTTACTGCCGATGATTCTCAAACTAGGCTGATGAAACAGCTGTCCAGTAGTCCCTGTGGCTGGTTTTCAATGGTTCTCTGTTACTGATATCAATCCGTAATCAACTCGTTAAAAAAAAATAATAATACTCAGTTTAGTTAGCTTTTCAGGTGGAGGGTTGTAGGGTTTCTGACAGAAATCGAAGTCACTTGTTGAATCATAGAAAAACTGGAAGGCTGTTTCATTCCACAGTCTGGAATCCATGTTCTTCAAGTCACAAGACAAGTCCAATGACCACACTCTCAACTACAGGGTTGAAATCTTATTTTATATAGCAATGAATTCTAACTTCTATACACAAGTGATATTTGTTATGTAAGAAGGCTATGAGGCACACACTGATGTTTGTATGTGAGCAAGAGAGAGACTATTATATAGTATGCGGTAGTTCTAGACTATGAGACACAATTTCACTTAAGTAGCTTAAGAATCCCCATTAAGTCGTAGAAAAGAAAAGGGATATTCAACGAGGTGTTACTCTTTGTAGTGTAATATGGCCAATGTTAAAGTATTACGATTCAGGATTTTGTGAATGTACCAATGACCTCAAAGGCACACGGGACTAGGCGTTATTATAGCGCTAATATGAACACTATACATGAATGAATTGAGGTGCAAATTTCCCCCACATCACATTTTTAAGTAATATTTAGACAATAGGTTGATAGCACATAACCGTAGATGTTCTTGCAGTGCTTCTTTGATGTGTGTGTGGGGGGGGGGGGGCGGGCGATATCGAAGTCTGTACAGACAGAAAATTTGTTAATATCTACTATGAAATTATTCTCTCGGGAGATGAATATTGTCCCACAACTGTTAACAGAAGTTGGTGTTATTGTTCACATCGATGAAACCGTTCCCGATCGTAGTGTTGACACTCCTCTACCTATTATACATAAGTTAGTCATACTGTAACAACAGAAGACAAGGGCCAAGCAACAGATCGTTTATTAAGGGAAATCAACACATATTTATAGATTTCAATGTACATTATTGTAGATTATTGTTAGTAGAAAATACAGTCTTTTGATTGGTTGTTTCTCACAGAAAGTTAACCTTGCATCTCTTTGTGGCTGTGTCAGATCATCCATATGCTAACTGTATCCGCCTACGCAAAGCCTTTGTTCTCATTTTCTCACCTCCAATATTGGGGACATAAAGTGACGTCGCTTACTGTCTATCAACTTTGGCTAACAGCCAGCTCTCACCACAACTCTTGGCACTACTGTCCATAAAGAGGAATGCAAGGGGAACAATCACCTATCACATTTGGGTCTTATCCATCATCGAGTGAATCATTCTGATGATTTTGTTGCCCCCCCCCCCGCTCCCACTTACTTGAACCTATACTAATTCAACTGAGGACTTCTGGGGAAGACTGAAAAACAGGATAAGAGCAATAAATGAGTCACAATAAGGACTCATCTTCAATCTCATGTTCAGAGACTGGTTCAAACTTCAAATTGATACTCCTCATTATTGACTGGGAGGTATTTTTAAGTCATGTCAGAGGAAAATATCCTCTTTAGTGTGTTTTCAAGTATTTCTCTTGTGAAACCACTGGATTTTCTGATTGGTCGGCTCAAGATCACTCCTCAGTTCTCATTCCGTAGATCGTAATAATTAACCTTTACACCTGTCACATCATTTGCAGTTGGACTGTGATAGGCACACAGTGAGTGAAGAGACCAGCATTGGTTGCCTTACCTTCACGTTTATATTCACCATTGGTTTTGTAGACAAAAGTAAGTCGAAGTTTCAGCCCTTTGAGGTTTTCTTCAATGAATAGGAGATATCTCTCAATATTTCTGTCGATGAGTCTCCGCTGAATCACAGATTCAGATAAACAAGATTCTAATGACAGAAAATGTGTGTTGTAGGCTTGATGGACTTTGTGATGAGAACCCTTCATTTAAACTATTTAGTTAAAATACAGAATATGGTACAATGCAGGCCCCAATAAGATGCGCTACACAATAATAATAATAATATATGAATAAAATAGGGAGAGAATGATCAAGGTGTAGTGATAGCTGTCTGCTAGCCAAAATTGGTAGACAGTAAATTAGGTCAATGTTTATGTCTCAAATCGTGGTCATGAGAAAAAAAAAACGAGATCAAAGACCAACTCAGTAAACAATCACAGCAGACTTTGCGTGGGCGGATACGATTCGCAGAAATATAGTGTGACCTTCAAAGAAATGGCCACAAAGAGATGATAGAATAACTATCAGCGAGGAAACAACCAATCAGAAGACGCTGTTTCTGTGCGAATAATAACAAATAATAATGTACATAAAAATATATAAATATCTGTTGATTTCTTCAATAAATGATCTGTTGCCTGGCTCTTGTCTTCTGTCGTTACAAAGGGACTTTATCCAAAAAAGAAGCAACATTGTAATTAACAAAATCAAACAACATTCGTCAAATTACTGTCTGCAAGGGAAGAAAGAGGGGAGAAATCGCAGCACGTTCGCGTTATTGATGGTGATTCTCAGCCATATCTGACGATAACGTCTCTAGTCACCGACGGCTCGATCTGTCTAGTCAGACCTCAAGCAGGAAAACGTGTTTGATTTCATAAGCTGATCACCTCTGACCTTTTTCATCCAACCCTAGGGCTCTGTCTAGGGTGAGATTCATACAGAGCACATATCTCCATACAGAGCCAGTAAAGCCAGTGGTATTTCCAGATGGAATGGTGACCTGCACATTGAGTCCGAACACACACACACACGCACATGCTGCTGAACCTTAGAGTTAATTACTCACTCACACACGATGATGAGGAATGAGAGCAATCCGATGGAGGCAGAAGTGACTGATGAATACACACACGCAGAGTCGGCGTACATCAAAAAATAACTTACCCTAGCATTAGATCCATTGACTTGTGTAGCCCAATACGCTCCATATTCAATTGACCCTCCAGATCCACGTTTCGGTTTAATAACAGGTCGAGCAAGGATAAGAAAATGATCAGCGATAAATTGTTCTTCACCGCCTTTGTTTATTAAATCATTAGGAAACAATAATGAACCACCACCGCTACCGCTAGTGCTGCCACCGACGCCTCCAACAGCTCCAGCGCCAACAGCATTAGACGATGTATCCACTGTAGATGAGGTGTGCTGTCCTATCTTCTCCTTTTCTTTATCATTATTGTTGTTATTGTTGCTATTTGATGAAGAACTTGATTTGGACAAGATATTCACATCATTTGGATTTTGTTGTCCACCGATGCCATTGAACATCCAAACAACATGAATGCGACCTTCAGACTAATTTGGTTGTTGTAAAAGAAACAAAAAATCGAATTAGAGTACATTTTTTAATAAAAAATGACATGTGTAGTGTAACGGAATAGTTATTTGGAAAAAAAAATCCCTTCTGTGATCGATCTAATCCCAAAATTGTAATTGGTTGGAGGATTTCATCGTGAGCTGACATCAGTTAGCGAACCACCACTGGAGTACTGGAGAGCCGACTATTTCATCAGTCTAGTTTGGGACTCTTCATCGACAGTACGCACCCATATCACGGGGTTCGAACACAGGAGCTTCTGGTTACAAGGCCAGAGGGCTCGTAGACCATTTATCAGCCCCTGGGACTCGATCCAATGGCCAACCAGCCCATGAGTCCCAACTTCTGCGAATTCATGCACGACATAGCTCGACCACTTCGCAATGTCTTCTTCTTCGATGAGTTACTGTCCTCACCTTCAACCTGCTGCACACACTACTGGTCACGGCTTTCCACTAGAACCCCAGGTTAACTGCCTGAATAGGGCCCAGTAGCTAGTGAGCATCAGATTAATTTTCAAGTCAACACCCTTTCCATTAACAACTCTTCCCCCACCCCACCCAACTCCCAGTTGAATCGCATCTCGTAGGACTAGAAGGCATTATAAAAGATTATATGCTCGCAGAACTAAGTAGAATAACCCAACGAGATCAGGATGGAATTTGCACCCCAATTCGTACATACTGTACACACATAACGGCAGGTTCTGTCACCAGAAGAACTGCATGCGTTCAAAGTCATAGATGTTTGTTCACATTCTGTGGATGGCTATCTTTTATTTCTGTCTCATTAATAATTTTAATGCTTCTCTTTGTGGTTGTGTGATGATGACATTGAAAAAATGCCTACGAGAATTGTTTGACTGTGTGACACTCTCTTATGGACAGAGGTTTTGATCCCAACTTGTTGGGAATATTATACTTCATTCTAAGGTACTTGTTATGCTTGATTTTCGGTCAACCACTTTTGTTCTGTAGTACTTGTTCTCTTTACTAGGAAATTAACTGATCAGGATAGCTGCCTAAAAGCACTGTTGAAGTAATTCTGAATTTTCTATATGTTATTATTGTTAGTATCGCAGATTTTTGTCATAAATAACCTACAGGGAGCTGGAGAACTGATTCCAAACACCAGTAGTGTACATGCGCTTCATAATCCAAAAGGATAGAATTTCTTATAAAGCTGTTTTGGAACATAACTTCCAACGATGCTTTTCCTGCCATGTGGACCACACTTCCAGTCAAAAAAAGCTCGGAGGTTGGCCCCTTAAGAGACAATCAGTTGGCTTGGTGCAGGCATGCAGATATTATCCCAAACACGCATAAATTATGCGACCTTCAGAGGCGTATTTCTAGGTGACCATAGCGTATCGAGTTCGAAAGCACCCCCCCAGCTCCCGGAAAAAAAGGACACTACGAGCTGGCCGCCCAAGATTGACATGGAGAAAATGAAAATGAAATCCATTGGGCAATTTTGATAACAGAGAAAGGTTCGCAACGAACACATGCCGCTGAGGCCGTATATCCCACTCGGTACCAACTTTCCCGTCTGCCTGAACATTCTTTTCACAACTTGCAATCATCATCAATTAACAGATAAATAGAGAAAGTTAATAATAATAATAATAATAATTTGCTTTATTCCAAAACAGTACTTGTGATACAGAATGGAATTCTCAGCATTTTTACTACAGTATTGCATCCAGTTAGTACATTATCAATAAATAGAATTCTACATAGATTAAGGAAATCTCAGTTCATTATGACAACAACATATTGGCATGTCGGTAGCAAAGGTAAAGCTGAACAGTGTTTGAAGGTGTTAGAAAAGTAGTTCCTATCATATTTACTGGCGTAAGCGAAAGAAACAAAGCAGATTATAACGGAAAAAGAGAGAGAGAGAGAAAAGGAAAAGAAAGAAAGAAAATGTTGTACCTATAAATGATATGAGTTGGAAAGACGAGATCCAGTTGTTCTACTGACTATTTAATGAATTATAGGTGTCACGCCTAATGCTTTCTTTATCACACAGAACACGAGCTAAGTAGGGTATGGTTGAGCTTTTGTACTTGCTGGTGCGAGTATATAGTTTTCTATATAGGCTTCTGGTCTCCTGCCTGATGAGATGCAAGGAGAGAGTTGTGAGTGAAGAGGTTTGGTGTGAGTTATATAAAATGGATTTGGCCCATTTTTCACATGAGTCCATGTGCCTGTCAACCAGAATATTAACAGGCTGGTTAAGTGGCACATTGCTTACCCTGCTGACAACCTTTTAACGAATTGTAGGAGTAAGGGTTGGGTTATACCAGAATTTCTTAACTTCTTGATGTAGAAGGTAAGACGCAATATTTTCTTAGAAATCGCCAAGATATGAGACGACCAGGAAAGATCAGCAGATAGAATGACACCAAGATATCTAATTTCCGACTTGGTCTCCATTTCAATGCCACCTATATTGCACACCTCGTGAGAGCCAACCAGTTTGTTTAGGTCGGATTTATGCCTAAAGGTGAAATTGACTGTTTGGCATTTGGAGGGGTTTAAGGTAAGACCGTTTTCCTTGGACCACTAGCTTGACAGCAGAATTTTTTTTAAAAAAAACAGCAATGTCATTGGGAGAATAAACGATTAATTTCTCCAGGGACAGTGGCTATCCAAATAATCGATATTAGTAGAAATGACTTTACCCACATTCAACAATGCGGTTTTGAATGATATTAGTCTGCACCAATCTTTAATACTAGTAATAGTAATAATAATAATAACATTGATGATAGCAACAATGCAATACTGTTATCCTTCTCGTTTTACTCCTTCAGACATTATCAACGCATACAATCTTGAATATAATTGCGGTTTCACTTGTGTCAAACACCACCACCTCCGAAGGAATGAAGTAAAATGCAGTCATCACATCAAGGGTTGTAAAAAAAACCACACAGAAAAAAAAGAGGAGAATCAATAGGGAGAAAACAGAAAAAGGCAGTGCAAAAAGAAATATGGTATGGTATAATGACAATAAAAGATGAAGATAAGGTGGCATCAATGTCACTGACTAGGATAGATTTTGAGCTGTGAGTAGTGTAATATAAGGATTGGTTAGTCAGTTAGTTGGCTACTTAGTTAAAGGGAGGAATAATTTATTCACGTGTTTCACTTTATATTCTCTGTTTACATTCTGAGTAGAATGCTTGTTAGTCCCTCAATTTTTTATTATTATTATTGTATCCTTTAATTCCTACAGGAACATAGGGCTTCAGCCGTGTGTCTCCATTGCTTTCGGTTCTCTGCTAGAGTCTTCACCTGACTCCAAGTCTGCTCACACGTTTTCATCTCCTCTTCACATGACCTCCTCCATGTCACCCACCCTTGCACTGAGGACCAACTCACCGCTTCCCTTTCGGCCAGGTTCCACTCGAGCGATGGCTTGTCTAGTGATGTCACTTGATGGTTTCCTCAGAGTATGGTCAGCCAATCCATCTCCACTCCTTCCTGCTTATTTGTTTCACAATCGGTTCCTGCTGTGTTGGTTCACTCATTGCCAGAGATCTCTGTTGCTGATCTTTTCTGGCCAGCCATTTGATCTTGAGTATTGAGCGAAGACAACTGTTAATATAGGTCTGTAGTTTGTTCGAGATGCTCTTCATGACGCGCTGGCCAAGTCTTTGATCCGTATAGTAAGTAGCACTGACTTCACATTGGAGTTGAAAATCCGGATCTTATTTTTGATGCTGAGTGCTGGCTGTTGACTTCCACACAGACTTGAGAGTAGTGAAAGCTTGTCTTGCTTTACCGATTCTTGTTTTGATATCCTCGTCAGTTCCGTCGGCCTGTAGTTTAAACGATGCTTCCCAGGTCAATTTATTATAGTTATTATTATTCTCTTGGGTTCCCAGTGGAACACAGGAGGGCTTTAACAACCCATATACACTTTATTCTATTTGGCGCTGTCCTCTTTAGATGGTTAACCCCACAATTGACCATAATCTCTCATCTCCTCCTCCAGCGGCTCGACACACGACCTTCTCCGATGACCCACTCGTTGCTTCCCACTGAGATTCCACCCAAACAATGGCCTGCATTACGAACGATGTCATTCGACCGACGGCCTCCTCAGTGGCGTATGCCCAATCGATCCATCTCCATTCCCTCCTACACATATGTTGAGCAATTAGCTCTTACTCGGTCGGTTCGTCACCTCCCAAAGTTTCTTGTCACCAATTCCTATTTACTCGCCCGCCCATCGGCCGGCCAGCCATTTGATCTTCAGTATGGAACCAGCCAGTCAGCCAGCGAAATGGGCAGCTATTGATAAAACTCTGTCGTAGAAGCCTGTTGGAAATCCTTTTCGTGACACACTCGCAGTTCAAGTTTCTTCCTCGTATGGAAGAACTAACCAACTGACTGACTGACTGACTTCACACTTGTTTCAAATAGAATTCGATTCATTTTGCTTATGCTAGCTGGCTGAGTGAGTGATTCAGAAGATTTCCAAAATGGTTTCAGGTTCATGAAGGCGTATCTTGCCTTTCCGATTCTGGCTGACTGCCTGTCTGTGGTTGAAACCGTGCTTCCTGGCCGGATAAGTGAATGCAGGAAGTAACCCCTATCAAATCTCTCCCATTGATGGTGATTAGTGCTGGTTGTTGTTGCTATCGGTTAGCTGTCCTAATCACCTCCGTCTTCTTTATGTTCACCTGGAGTCCCATCTTCAGCCAGTTTGTTGGTTTTCGCCTGCCTGCAACTCTTCAAGTTTGTGTGTGTGTCACATTAAACATACATCATCAAGGAGCGAAATCTAGATCTTCTAGAGCCTGGCACTCACCACCAGCCAACAAGGCATGAAACTGTAATCTTGAAGCAAAATCATGTTAGCCAATCCAACTTCTGAGATTTGAACCCGTGTCACTCAGTACTGTCTGCATACAATTTGAGGCGTTACCAAATGAGTTAGCTATTTGAACATGCGATTAACCTCT